TGTACTTTTTTTTTTTAAAAGATTTTATTAATTTGAGAGAGAGAGAGAGTAAGAGAGAGCATGAGATGGGGAGGGGCAGAGAGAGAGGGAGAGGCAGACTCCCCACTGAGCAAGGAGTGGGATGCTGGGCTTGATGCCAGGACCTGGAGATCCTGACCTGAGCCAAAGGCAGACGCTTAACCATCTGAGTCACCCAGGAGGCCCTGAATTGTAAACTTTTAAAAAGGTGGATTTTATGTCAATAAAGTTGTAATGAAAAATTAGCATAAAATGTAATTGTGCTGTACCTGGTAATATATTATGGATATTTCTCTAATATTCCCAATAACTGCCTTTCTGTGATTTTTTTTTTAAGTGATCTCTATACCCAATGTGGGGCTCACACTAACAACCCCGAGATCGAGAGTTGTATACTCTTTGGACCAAGCCAGCCAGGTGCCCCTGACATTTTTATTTTTAATTACCAAAGGGATGCACAGTCACTGTAAAAAAAAAAAAATTGAATAATGCAGAAGAGTGACAATTAGAAAGTGAAGTATTTCCTCCTCTGCCCAACTTCAACACTTTCAGAGTATTGCTTAAAAATCACTTTTATCTCATTCTCTTCTGTTCACAGATGTTTACGTTCAGGGCAAGCCCACTGTCTTGTTTTATTTGTTTGTTTGTTTATTTGTTTATTTTTAAAAGATTTTATTTATTTATTTGACAGAGAGAGACACAGCGAGAGAGGGAACACAAGCAGGGGGAGTGGGAGAGGGAGAAGTAGGCTTCCTGCTGAGCAGGGAGCCCGATGTGGGGCTCGATCCCAGGACCCTGGGACCATGACCTGAGCCGAAGGCAGACGCTTAACGACTGAGCCATCCAGGCACCCCTTTCCTGTTTTATTTTTAATTTTCCCCTTCCCCCCATCTCTACTCTCATGCTCCTTCCCACTCTAATGTGTTTATTGTATGTTCTTAATTATGCAAGTATCCTTGCAAAATACCACCTTTTTTTGTATAAGGTTTTTGATTTTTGGAAGTGGTATTGTGCTATGTCTTCTTACTCAACACTTGTTGAGGTCTTGGCGTGTTCCCGAGTGCTATTATTTCATGGTAGACATCTGCCACATTTAACTTAGGTTTCCCTAATGAGGGACACCTCAGTTGCCTCCAACTCCATCACAATAAACAGTGTGGTGTATATGCTCCCTTAAGTATGAGCAAGAATCATTCTTTGACATATACCCAGGTGTGGGGCATTATACAGGGTCAAAGGACATATTCTTATGCAAGTACAAACATTTCCCTTTCTGGGACAGATATGCCAGTTTATATTCTCTCTGCTCTCCTTATGCACAAGAATTTTCATCTCCCCACATCCTTTGCTAACACCTGGTAGCATCAGACTTTCTAATTTTTGCCAATCTGCTGGATCTAAAATAATAACTCCTTATAGTTTTAGTTTACATTTCTGTTTGTTTCTATAATTACTAGGGAGTTTGATCATCTGTCCATGTACTTGTTTGACATCTAGTCCTCCGTTAAGTGAATCGTCTGTTCATTGTTTGGTCATTTTTCTCTTGGGTTTTCTGACTTTTTCTTGTTGACCTGCAGGAGCTCTTTGAATATTCTAGATATTAATCTCTTGTACTGACAAGATGTTGCAATCTCTCCTCTGGACTGTCATCCATTTACTTTGGTATCTTCTGCTGAACACAGGTACTTAACTTAGTATTGTGAAATCCATCTAATTTTGCCCATATTTCTAGTCTCTAAGGATATTTTCCAATTTTTTTCTATTTATCTCCTCATTTTACATTGTTACTATTAACAAACCTTTTTTTTTTTTTTGCTATTTTTATCCTTTAAAAAAAATTTTTTTTAATGTTATGTTAGTCACCATACATCATTAGTTTTTAACAAACCTTTTCTATGTATTTGTCAACACATACATAATTTGTTTGGTAACAAAAATAGGATAAAACAATGTATATTGTTAGGTAACTCTTTTTCATCCTCCAACAAAACGTATGGACTTTCTTCTGTATTTCTTTCCCTTTCTGGGGATTCTATTCAGATCTTTCTCACTTTTTAATGACTGCATAGTATTCTCTTCTGTGAATGTACCATAACTTATTTAACAAGTTCCTTATTGATGGAAAATTGACAGTATTAAAAAAAAATGCTTAGGGCGCCTGGGTGGCTCAGTCGTTAGGCGTCTGCCTTCGGCTCAGGTTATGATCCCAGAGTCCTGGGATCGAGTCCCACATCAGGCTCCCGGCTCAGTGGGAAGCCTGCTTCTCCCTCTCCCACTCCCCCTGCTTGTGTTCCTGCTCTCGCTGTCTCTGTCAAATAAATAAATAAAATCTTAAAAAAAAAAAATCTTTAAAAAAAAAAATGCTTAGTGCTTGTTCAAGTATTTTTTAGGCTAGATTACCCTAGGTAGAATTGCCAGTTCAATGATATATTTATTTAATTTTGACTTACAAATTACTTTACAAAAATTGTAAGTCAATTGTAAGTCAAAAATTGTAATGTTTTTTATGCCCAGCAACAGTGTTCAAACAAGATTTCTAATGGAGACAGCATAGCATAGGACGAAAAAGAGCCTGCTGTAACATCAGAGAAATCTGGTGTGAATCTTATCTCTGCCACTTAGCTGTGTGACTTTCTCAGTTTCCTCATCTGTAAATGGTGGTTTTGATACCTATATGATAGGGCTGGGAGAATTCAATCAATGTTAAATGTAGAGCCCTCATAAAGTACCAGACACCAATTCTCTACTATGGGAAATTTATTTATTTTATTTATTTTATTATTTTTTAAAATATGGTTTTTCTTTTTCATTTATTTTTTAAAGATTTTATTTATTTATTTGACAGAGAGAGACACAGCGAGAGAAGGAACACAAGCAGGGGGAGTGGGAGAGGGAGAAACAGGCTTCCCGCTGAGCAGGGAGCCCGACTCAGGGCCCATCCCAGGACCCTGGGATCATGACCTGAGCCGGAGTCAGATGCTTAATGACTGAGCCACCCAGGCGCCCCTACTCTGGGAAATTTATAAATATTGTTATTTATAATATTATGATACTAGATGCTTCTATATTCAATTTTGAACAGGTCTTCACTATTTCCTCAGCTAATTTAGTTTTTATGGAGTTGGCAGTCTCAGTCCTGGTTCAATCCATCCCACCCTCCTCTTCTTCTTTCCAATCTTCTCAGACTTCCAGTGGAAGAAAAGGGACTCAGAAGATTTACTAATGTGTACCTCATGCCTGCCCACTCCTCTGGCCAGTCTAAACCTGGTGAGAGAAAATCACCGTTGTTCCTCATCAGCCTCGTTAAATTCTGTTTTATTGTGTGGGTTAAAATGCAAGGGCAGAAAGAAGGTCTGGCGTCTGAGAGACCCTCTCAGAAAGAACAGAGGCCCGGGGCATGGGCAATGGCTCTGCAGCTACCGTTCTTGCTAACAGCAATGACTAAAAATGGCTGAAGGTTAGAGCGCTCCCCTGGGAGGGGAGCCTGTCACAGAGGCAGGAAGTGAGGAAGGTGTGGGAGGGGAAGTATAGAAAACACAAGGGGAGGTTTCGGACTTATTTTTCTCTCCTGCATTCTGAACTTTCACTTCCCAGTGGGAACTGAGGTCCTCCCCAGTTCTTGCTTCCCATCCCATAATTTGAAATAGCAAGGCCTATGGAAGCCAGACTGGAATATCAACAGCTCTTCTGGCGGGAATCTGTTTTTCAGTGACAGCACAGAGCCAGAGGGTTGGTCCGTTGTGCCACACCAGTGTTCTAGTCACTGCGAATTTCAAACTAGTATGTCCGTAGAAATCATGAGTTCAGTGTTTTCACAGAAGCAACTGAATTGTGTCCTGGGAGGCTTAGGTTTATAGGAAACATTGAAAAAATTCATAGTCCTATAAACAAATATAGAATAATTAAATATTCCCTAATATCATACATAGAGCGAAGATAATGATACAAGAGGTTCCCAACTGGAGTCACTTTGAGGCAGGGCTAATTTATTTATTTATTTTATAAGATTTTATTTATTTATTTGAGAGAGAGAATGAGAGACAGAGAGCATGAGAGGGAGGAGGGTCAGAGGGAGAAGCAGACTCCCTGCCGAGCAGGGAGCCCGATGCGGGACTCGATCCCGGGACTCCAGGATCATGACCTGAGCCGAAGGCAGCCACTTAACCGACTGAGCCACCCAGGCGCCCGAGGCAGGGCTAATTTTACAACTAGGAGAAGGTAAAAATCTTAAGTGTGCCCTTATGCCCAAGGCTTCTTAGAGGAATCTTTTCAATTAATAAGAAACAATTTTGGGGGTGCCTGGATGGCTCAGTCGGTTAGGCGCCCAACTCTTGATTTCCATTCAGGTCATGATCTCAGGGTCGTGAGATGGAGCCCCACGTCGGGCTCTGTGCTGGGCGTGGAGCCTGCTTGAGATGCTCTCTCTCTCCCTCTGCCCTTCTCCACTTGTGCTCGCTCTCTCTTAAAAAAAAAAAGGAAAAGAAACAGTGTTGTCCTTCAAATAATAATTTGATTCTGTGCTAGAGACAGATATTAAGGAATTTGTCTTTGGCCTACTGTAATAATTAAAGCCAGTGGACTTATTTGGTTTTAGCTGGCATTGGGAGGCTGAGTCCCTGCAAGGGCCAAAGACCTCTCCATTAACAGACAATGTGTCTCTGATCCCCGCTTTAAATAGGTCCTGTCCCTGCCTTTGCCAGGTGGTTGTACGAAGTGAGGGGAGGTATGTGACAGTGCAAATGCTCTCGTCTCTCTGTGCTGCCCTGTAGCTGGTGCTGAGCACAGAGAGAATCCGGTGACTGTCCCGGGATCAACTTCCTGCCACGGATGATAGGACGATTCAAAGCCCTGCAGACATCTGAAGGAGCTCCTTGGTGTTTAAAGAAAAAAAAAGTGCATTAGAACAGATACCGTGTAGGTAATTGATCCAATATGCACACTGCAATTTCCTGTCATTGCATCCCGATCCTTCACCCAGAACGGTTCTTGAGCATGAAAAAGACCAGACTGCATGTCCCATCCACATCGCCTTCAATCTCAACCCAACTCCGGCGGCAAGCTCAAGTTTCAGACCGTGGAGTGAGTGTGAAGTCGTTAAACCGCTTACAGCCGGGGCTATTGGTGGGGCTCCCCAGGAAGACGGGGGTCAATATGCACACTTGATGCTGGGAGGCCGTGACTTTTTTGACAAGCTGGCGCATTTCAGTTGCTTCTGCCAAAACGAGCACTTCCGGAAAAGACCTAAAGCTGTGTTTGGGAGGGTAGGGCCCCCCTGCCTGAAGTGCGGCCTCTCCTGGCTTGGAGGCCCGGGAGGGGGAGCCGGCTTGTGCAACAATGGCTTCTCCCTTTCCCAGCGCAGGACCGCCAGTGACGTGGGGCTTCCGAGTTTCCTCCTCCTCCAACATCCAGATAAAGTGAAAGTGAACAGGCGCTTGGAAAATTACTAGTGTTTTTCCTCATCAGAGCACATGAAAGAGGGTGGCAGAGAATTTGTTACATGTCATTTGTTTTCAATATTGGGTGTCCTCACAGCTTTCCAGAGCAGGAGCTTCTAGAAATCACTCTCGTAGAGCACAAACTTTTATACTTCGCTCTCCTGCTTATGGTTGCTCTAAAAGGCAGAGGCGCCTGAAAAGGCTTTGTGATCCATCTCCATTTCCATTTCTATGAGAGAGATAATGCGTTCTTTCCCTGAAATTCGACATATACCCAGGTCTGTTCATCCCAGGCAGGAACCCGCGCTCTTGCAGAGCGGAACCGGGCCACTTCCTCTGGCGCTCTTCCTGCCTTCTCAATACTTCTATCGATATTTTCCTCTTCAGGGAATTGTATTTAGAAGAGCGATAAACTGCCCTTAGCGAGGAGATTCTTTCCTTTGCACCAGAGTCTAAATTCAAACCTCTCTATTTCTGATTTCTTGAAAATGAAACACAGGCTGCAGCAGGAGGGACAGGACGATGGTTAATACAGACCTGCTGACCTCCGTCTTCGTCTCCATTTCTTCCCGAGCTCTGATTCTCAAGGTCGGCTGGCGCGCTCATTCCCACTGGATTTGATTGTTGGGTGGATAATGATATTCTTATACGGAAGGTTGCAAAGGCTGGAACCCATGAAGGAGAATGTTTGATAAATTAGAACGTGAGCTCGGTGAGAGAAGGGATTTGCTTTTCTTCACTGCTGTATCCTGGGTGCAAAGAACAAAGCTTGGCTTGAAATGAATGCTCAGTAAATATTTGTTGTATTAACTGGGAGAAGTATTTTGCTTATCTAGAACTAAACAATTCTCAAATACTTTCAAAAGCATTTACCAATGACTGCCACTTATACTTATTTTGAGGCTAGCATATCATTTCTTCATTAAAAGGTGTTGGCACATTCATTTAACTTTTTTTTTTTTGAGAAAAAAACACAGGAGATGAAAAATTCAATGTATAGTCCATTTAACCAAAGGGTGATTTACTAAATATTTATTAAGCAAGTAAAATATTGAGACAAAGTATATATTTTTATGAGGGAGACTGTGCTGAGATGAATCAAATGTACCTTGCTCTCAGGATGCTTTTGATGAATCTAATAGGGAGATTAGCCACAAACGAATACATAGGTATTATAAAGAAAAAGCCATGGAGAAGAAAGCGGTCCAGGGAGTCTGATTGAGCTCCAGAAAGGCCTGCAGGGAAGGAAAGGATTGTGTCAAATGCATATCTGTATCCTTATTGCCTAGCAAAGAGTAGATATTCCTCTCTGTTGAATGAATGAAGATCTTTTCCTGAGGCTGAGTCCTTGAGTTTAAAATAAAGAAAAAACTGAAAATAAATAATACGATGTTTCAGTGGATCAGAGGAAGAGACCGCATCTAGATCAGATTGGAGGAAGTCAAGGGCCATGAAGGAGGTGGGGATGAAGAGTGACTTTTCAGGTCCAAGGAATGAATTTGGTACAGGCATGGAGGGGAGGGACAATTGGGGGGGGGGGAGAGTTAAGTAGCTGGGTGTAGCTGCGACCAAGTGTGGTGGGGCATGAGGGTAGAGGAGGTGGGCCTAGGAGCAAGGAAGGTGGGCTGCTGGGTAGTTTACTAGGTAGGCAACGGGAAGCCAGGGGCTTCAGCTTTGGGGAGCATCCTGATCAGGCAGATGAGGTGTGTTGGGACCAATAACCCAGCACGGGTGGGAAGGTGGACAGAAGATCAGACTCCAGGCAGTGAGACCATTTAACTTTTCTATTCCAGGTGAAAACAAGTCACAGAGATCTTATTTAGAAGATGGGAGAGGGATTAAAAAAAACCACTGTGTTGGGGGTGGGGTGGAGGAGAACGGAGGAGGACGGAATAAAAAATGAGTCGAAGTGACTGGGGAACAGCTCCTAAGGAAAGCGGTGGGAACAGCAGGTTTTAGTGTGGGGGTGGGGGTGGGAGCGGGGGAGAGAGGTTGGATTTAAAGAAGTCCCAAGTGTAGAGAAGATAGCCAGTTGGGGATGTCCAGCGGGCATGGCGGTGATTACACAGTAGCTTGAGCAACAGGTGTTTTGTTTCTTGTTTCTTTCTTTAGTTTTTAATTTTTTTTAAAGAATTTCTTTTTCTTTCTTTCTTTTAAGATTTTTATTTATTTGAGAGAGAGAGCGAGAGAGAGAGAAAGAGAGATTGAGGAAATGAGTGGGGGGAGCAGCGGAGGGAGAAGCAGACTCCTTGCAGAGCAAGGAGCCCGACACGGGACTCCATCCCAGGACCCTGGGATCATGACCTGAGCTGAAGGCAGATGCTTAACCGACTGAGCCACCCAGGCACCCTTGTTTTTTTCTTTAAACGATGTTTTAATTTAAATAGTTATATTGCCACATTTGGTAATGTGAAAATTAATTCTCCTTCCCACCCTTGGTTGCCTATTTTTCTCTCTCCAGAGGTAACCACTGTTTCCGGTTTCTTGAATATCATGGTAAAGATACTCTGTATGTATCTGTGGTTTTATGTCCCCAGAAGAATTTCGTATTTTTTTTAAATTAAAAAAAATTTTTTTTTTTAAGATTTCATCTATTTGTCAGAGAGAGCGAGCGCACACACACAAGCAGGGGGAGCGACAGGCAGAGGGAGAAGCAGGCTTCCCGCTGAGCAGGGAGCCCGATGCGGGGCTCGATCCCAGGACTCTGGGATCATGACCTGAGCCGAAGGCAGACACTTAACCGACTGAGCAACCCAGGCGCCCCAGAATTTCGTATTTTTGTTTTTAAAGGCTAGAGAAGACTTGAGTGTCCTTGAGACAGAAGGAAAAGAAAGAGAAGAGAGGTGGAGACTGAAGAACCAAATTACAGGGGAATGACTAAATGAAGATCTTAGAGGAGGCAGGAGAGGGTACAATTTGTGGTGTAGGCATATGCTTCCAGGAGAAGAGCGGGCCCTCTGCAGAGCTAGGAAGGGCAGTTTGATGGCAAAAGTTTCCTCATGCTGTCTCCCTTAGATGGCCTAAGTCTCCTTGGCTTGGTGGTGGCTCAGGGAGGGGCCCGTGGAGGTAGGCTGGTGGCTTGAGGAGGACAACAGAGATGTCAAATAGCCACTCGAGACACTAGAGAATACCATAGGACTGTCAGATCCAAAACCAACCCAAAAATGTTTATTTTGATGATTTATAAAAGAAACACCACCATAGTAACTTAAAGCTATTTACAGATTAAAAAAGAAATGTACAGAAATGTATCCACACCATATTACATGAATCAGTTTTACTCAAAATGTTACAGGTAGTGTTGAACAAACATAACAAAACATAAATGAAGTTCTAAATCACATAAATGCCCTCCAAGCATGCTCAAAAGCCACTGGAAGCTGGTTTGGGGAAAAACTGGAAAACATGATTTTAGGAACCACAAGTAAGGATTATTCCACCACTGGTTGTAGATGATGGGGCCAAATAAAAGTCACTTCAACTTTCAACTGCAACCAGAAGCTTACATGTAGACAAAAGGAAAAAAAATGTGAGAGTTTTAAAATTGTTTTACTTATTCTGGTGAAGCCCAGAGAACACAGGGACTTGGAAATTTATATTCTAATCCACGTGAAAGTAGTTTTAATCAAGGATGATTTTATTTGTAGTTAATTGGGCATCACACCGTTCTCTTGCAGGTTACATGCCAATCAATATTCCAGTGTGCCGGGAAGGGAAAAGTGTGAGGATTTGTATCGAGACTGCGGCGGTGGATTTTGTTCCTCGGGCCTACTTGCGGCTTTCTCGACACATTAACAGCACCCAGGGGAAGAACGCCATCTGAAGACTTGGCGCTGACCCTGGTCTTGGATGCTGCCTCTGATAAATGGTGGGCACCATCCCTGAAGCCAGTGAGGGAATGCTTGGCAGCCTCCTGGGCATGCTTCCCTCCTTGTGGTTGCCAGGCCAAATTATACCCTGGCTGGCAGCTCCATGGAGATTTGAGACCTAAGTGTCATTTGAGACCTATGTCAGGCCGACATAATTTGTATGAGCAAAGTGGTCAAAAACAGGTGTTGACCAAGACCTGAGAATTATTATCTAGTGTAATTAAGCAAAGGGATAGAAGGGTCCACTTCCGCTCATTCCTTCAAGGATGCCCCTTAAAAATAAATAGAACTCCCCTACTTTATATTGCCTGATTTACAGCCGGATATGTGACCCTCAAGTCTAAGTTTCAGGATACATGTTATTAATGATTAAAAATAGCTAATTTTACTAATCTGGCAACTTGTGACATTTCATGATTACAAGCCTTAAAAATTTCATCCAATTTTTTTCTTATATGTAGAATGCATACACATTTAAAATATCAAAGGCACTTTTAGGTTACATGATAAACAAAAATACGTTAATAGAGACAGGATTATTTATTGGTTCCTTCAGTTTCTGTGTCCATGTCGATCATCGAGAGCCCAGTTTTGCACTTCACCTTTGGCGAATAGCGAGAAGAAAATGGCACCGAACACATTTATAGCAGCAGCGATACAGAAAACTGTTTGCCATTCTCTAATAGTGTTCTATAGGGAGAAAGAAAAACATGCACATGAAAAAAAATTTTGTTTATAGTCCGCTTTATAGAAAAGGTAGGGTCACAAGACTGTTGCAACAGTAGCATTATTCATAAAAGCCTCATGCTGAAAACAACCCAGTGTCCATCCACAGTGAAACTGAGGTATATTTGCTCCATGGAATACTATACAGCAACTAAAATGAATGAGCTAAAACAATACAGATGCATCTCACAAATGAAATGTTATGCAGAAGAAGCCAGACACAAATGAGTATGTATTGAATGACTGCATTATATAAAATTCCATTATGTAAAAGCTCAAAATTACACAAAACTAATCCACAGTGTTAAAAGTCGGAGTAGTGGCTCCTCTTACCAGGATGAAAGGGGAATGGCAGCAAGGAGCACCCAGAGGCTTTGCAAGAGAGGTAACGTTCTGTTTCTGGACTGGGTGTTGGTTACACGAGTGGATTAACTTTGTGAAAATTCATCCACCCCTATACTTAGGATTTGTGTATTTTTACAATACCATTTATTCAAAGTTTACTCAGGTTTACTCAAAATAAAACATGTGGCATGTCTTTCAATCATGTGTTACCAGGAAAGTAGTATGCTTGCCCATCATCTTCCAAGTTCTTAGGTGGGAGATACAAGGGGCAGATCAAGTAAGGATGAGTTAAGATGGACTTTGAATTTCAAGTTTGAGGCCTGGCACAGAGAGCTCCTGAATGGCCCACAAAACAGGGCACGGATGGGATTTGCCAGTTAAGAGATCAACAGAACACAATTGTTTACTGTATAGCACAGTGGTATAAAAACACCAGGCAGCTAGCGAATTTCTGGGTCATGTGACTAACTTAAACCACCATTTTTTGGATTTTGCAATGTCAGCGTAACCAGAATGCTACGTCTACAGCATGTAGAAAAGAAAAAACAAGCAGGGGAATTGGCAACGAGGAAGAAAAAGGAAAGGCACTAGGAAGCTAGTATGAGGTCATTCATTTAGGAAAAAAGGAAAAGCATGGAGAAAAAGAGCACTCTCTTGTTAAGTTATGCTTATCTGAGATGCATGTATTTCGGTGAAAAAAAATCTTAGAAATCCATTGTAATTTTAGTAACATTTTCATATGCTAACAATGTGTTACTTATTTGTACTCTGCTCATTCTGCAAAGTTTTTGAGGCAGTGCAGTAATTTTTAATTGTGAGCAATTACAATTGTAAAGGCAAATGTGTGTTTTTCCTTTCTTTTTTTTTTAAGATTTTCTTTATTTATTTAGAGCGAGAGAGTGAGTGCATGCGTGCAGGGGGAGGGGCAGAGGTAGAGGGAGAGAGAGAATCCCAAGCAGACCCCACACTGAGTGCAGAGCCAGATGCAGGGCTCTATTCCATCA